TATTTTTATATTTTCATTTTCTTTATTTCTCTTAGTAAAATTATCTTCTAGCTCTCTTTCCTCTTTTCTGCCTTCTCTGTCTTCTTTATGCCTTTCTTCTGGTTGGTTTAGTATTAATTACACTGATTAATATTAATAAATCATCTTTATACTCACCTACTATTTGAAGGGTATTCAGTAATTAATTGTAAATAAGTAATTAGAGAAAAGTATTTATGAATAAGTATTTATGTTCATGATTTTAATTCTGCTTATTAACATTAATAAATCATCTTTATACTCATACACTATTTGAAGGGTATTAGGTAAGTAATTGTAAATAAGTATTTAGAGATAAGTATTTATAAATAAGTATTTATGTTCATAATTTTAATTCTGCTGATTAATGCTAATAAATCATCTTTATACTTATATACTAATTTAATACGAATAAAATGATTTGAAGAATATTACTGTAGATAAGTAATTGTAAATAAGTTTTTAGAGACAAGTATTTATGAATAAATATTTTGTTCTTGATTTTAATTCCACTAATTAATTTAATACGAATAAAATGATTGAAGGGTATTAGATAAGTATTTAGCAATAATATTTATGAATAAGTATTTTGTTCTGATTTAAATTCTACTGATTAACATTAATAAATTATCTTTATACTCATGTACTAATTTAATGTGAATAAATAATTTGAAGGATATTCAGTGATAGTATTTATGAATAAGTATTTTGTTCTTGATTTTAATTCTACTGATTAACGTTAATAAATCATCTTTTATACTCACAGACTAAATTAACGTGAATGAAATTATTTGAAGGGTATTAGATAATTAATTGTAAATAAATATTTAGATAAGTATTATATTCATAATTTTAATTCTAGTAATTAATGTTAATAAATTATCTTTATACTCACCAACTAATAATGCGAATGAAATTATATGAAGAGTATTAGATACGTAATTGTAAATAAGTATTTAGCAATAGTATTTATGAATAAGTATTTATATTCATGATTTTAATTTCACTAATTAATATTAATAAATCATCTTTATACTCACGAACTAATTTAATACAAATAAACCAATTTGAATAGCATTAGATAAGTAATTGTAAATAAGTATTTAGTGATAGTATTTATGAATAATATTTTGTTCTTGATTTTAATTCTATTGATTAACGTTAATAAATCATCTTTATACTATAAACTAATTTAATGCTAATAAAATAATTTAAAGAGTATTAGACAAGTAATTGTAAATAAGTATTTAGAGACGTGTATTTATGAATAAGTATTTATATTTATGATTTTAATTTTACTGATTAACGTTAATAAGTCATCTTTATACTCAAACTAATTTAACACGAATAAAATAAATTTATTATAGGTTAGATCTTGAAAACTTAAATTTTTTACTTCACTAGTTATATGAACAGTACATAAATAATTAATACATATAATATCAAGTATTAAACTATATTTATATTCACAGATCCCAAATTATTATGATAAAGTTTATAATTTCTTGTTTTCAATAAAATTCATCTCTAATAGAAATAGTTCGAAGTAAAAATAAATTTTAAAAAAATCTAAAAAATACAGGTATTAAAAAAATAAAAATAAAAACCAAAGAAAAAAATAAATAAAATAATACTGTATAATTTTTTTATATCAAATTAGAATATTTTTATTAAGATTTAAATTTATGCCAAACACTAAAATAAAATAAATGTTATAAAATATAAAATAAATAGTATTAACGAAAAGTTGTACTTTACCAAAATTGGTAAGCATATTTATAATTAAATTCATTATAAGGGGGACCATTTAAAGAAATCATGAAAATGTCATTTAAAGTATCTGAATACATTTTATTGCGAAGTTTGGTTTTGATAAGATTTTGATTAGAAAAAACACGCTTAACATAAGCATTAGAAAGAGGTAAGCATAGCATAATAGAGATAATAATATAAATATTAGGATAAATTAAAGCAAAATCTTCATGATCTCGAAATATATTGTGCCATGCAATAGTAATATGTAAATTACTATAATTGAAAAGTAGTGATCGAATAATTCACTATTCTTAAGCAAAATTATCTACATCAATAATTTTTTGATATTCATGTACTAATAATTTTTGTTAACATTAATAATTTAAGATTATAATGATAAATTTAATATATATTAAATAAAAAATATTAATTACTTGCGATTCTTTTAGAGATTCCATAAAATTTTCTAATTTCAGATATTTCATGATTTCTATATATTGAAAGTAAATAACGATCAGTAAGTAATTGTTTTGAATTAAAAATTTTAAATGAATTTACAATTAAACGATCTGGAAAATGAAGTTTAATATTTTTTATTGTATTTATAGCAAATTCTTGTATAAATAATGGAAGGTTATTAGGTAAAATATTTTTTTGATTCATAAATCGTAATAATATAGTTCCAAAAGTAGGTTGTATATCTGCTTCACTAATAAAATCAGTTAAAATAGATTCAATAATAGCATTAACTTGTATTGTAACTTCTGAAACTGAAATATAATTGGCTTGAAAAATTAAAGAAAGATGTCAAAGTTGTGAAAGGATATCAGCTAAAAAATATGTTGCAATTAAAAAATCTTTATCAATACTATTATAAAGTCGTTGTGCAGTTTTTTGGCCTTTAGATGAGTCTTCTAATAATACACTAATTACAGAATTAATTATTTGATAAAAGTTGTTAACGACATTACTTAATGAAAGCCATCGAGTTTTAATAACTTGCAAAATATCTAAATTAGGCTTATTTAAACTATCTTGAGCTATTCGCAAGGTTTGTAATCTAGAATATGATCGACTAAAATAACTATATATTTGTCGAACTGTTTTATCATAGATTTCAAAATATGGAGTTTGCTCAGCAGTATCTTTAGAAACAAGTGCTAAACGATGACTTATACAATGATGTTCAGTAAGGAATGGAAGGTAAGTTTTTAATTGTGTTGCTATTCTATTTATATGTCCTAGAATAATAGTTAGTTAATAAAAATTAAATAAGAAATAGTTATCTTACATATTTGTTATTGATATCATAAACTATGAATAGCCTTTAATATCATGTATAATTGCGGTGTAGCTACAATTATATATGATATCGAAAGCTATTCATAGTTTATGATATTGATAACAAATACCTAATTTATCCTCATAGAATTATGATATTAGCTATGAAGATATCAGCTATAAAAATATTAACTATAAGATATTAAGCATTGTAATAAAAGCTATGAAGATAACAATGAAAAAAATCAAGAGCAAGCAATTAGAAACTGTAAGATAAATTATAGTTAAAAATAATTTTACCTAAATTAACACTTGTACCATTATTTCTGAAATGATAAAGTGTTTCTAATAGCAAATTTTTAGCAAGAATAAATAGATCTAATTCATTAACAATTGCATTTGATGATGCATTTTGAAGTTTAATAATGCCTAAATAACGAAAAACTGGAAAATTATATGAGATATGTCGAGAAACAACAGCAAGATTTTTTTCATGAGCAATTGTATTACTTTTATCAATCATAAGACTCCATGCTTTAGATATTTGTAATTCATTAAGCGTAGCTTCTTCAATAATACATGCAATTGCAGCAATAAACTGTTTACCAGTATGATTATTAATATATGAACTATATTTCTCACGAGTAGATTGTGTAGTAGTTGCTAGTTAGGGTAAATTTAAAAGTTTATTGTTACCTAGAATAACATTATCTTGTGCATTCTGAATTTGTAACTCAGTAAGATGATATAAGTCCTCAAAATTAAGAGTAGCAATATTATGCTTTACAAGAAAATAAACATTCATCATTTTTTACATTGTTTGTAATTGATCAGATTCAGCATATTGAAGTATACTAGTGATAATATTTATTTGATTTTTACTATGTGCAGATACAACTTTTATATGATCAGCTCGTTCTATATGCCGTTGAAGATACTGTTCTTTAAAATATTGAGTACCAGTTACAATAATATTATTACATTTTGCATCAATACACCATGTACAAACCATATAGTTGCTATTTTCTTGTATTACTAAATTAACCTATGGATAAATTTTTTTCCAATTTAGATTCCATTTTAAATTTTCTTTAGCAAAACAGTTATATATTGAATTTTTTAATTCAACAGTATTATTATCAGTATCTTGTTCATTATTAAAATTTTCACTTATAGTAGTACTAGCTTCAAAATTATTAAAGTTAAAATCATCACTAAATAAATAATTATCATCTTCATAATACTGGTATGAAAGCTTTGGTTGTTTAGAAGTTTGTATTTTAGAAATAAACGATGTAATTTTACTTTGTTTTTGTTCTTTATTTTTTTTAGAATTAGACATTTTAATAATAAATGTAAAAAAATTTAAGCTAAAGTAAAGTTTAAAAGTAATTCTAGTACGTACAGATATACATATGAGTAATACTCATAATACTCCTAACTGATCGACTATAAAACAAGTTTTTTAAATGGTGTAATTCTACTAATACGCGTAAAAGCTTATACTACTAATCTAATAAGTAAAATCAGATCAGTAATCTTAATGTATTGCTTGTTTAGGAAATATAATTATTAATTAGAATTACCTTGTACAAGTTATATTACTTGATTTTGAAAACACAATTATTAATTAGAATTAATACTATTGCTATATAATTTTGCAAAAAAAAAATGACATAAGATAAAATAAAAAATAGCAAGGCAACTAATTAGGGATGCTCACAGCAAAAGCAAGAGATAAAACTATTAAATATATAGTTCTATCTCCTGCTTTTGCTATAGGTGTCTCCAATTACCCTTTTGTATAAGTTATATCTGACCTTTTTTAAGCGTTATTACTTGTTTTAGGAAGTATAATTATTAATTGAAATTTATACTAAAATTTAGTAAAAAAAAAACAAAAAATCGAGTAAAAAAAGAAGTGGTAGTTTATTAATTACTCTTTGTACAAGTTATAGAATTGCTTATACTAATACATGCTAAATTTATTAATAAAAACATATTAAAATAATCTAAAATTTTGGCTAAAATAGTATTTAATAGTTAATATACATATAGATGAAGATTTTGGATAAGAATGCTGTGATTATTAAAATTAAGTGATATAATAGAAGTTATCGATATTTATTATATGTTATTAAATTAAATAAATTATGTACATATTAATTTATAAATAATTTACAAGTGATATGCAGTTTTTTATGAGTACGTATAAACAATTTATAGCTAAGAAAAGCAATCAGCTAATAAACTACAATTGTACATATATAATGATTCAAAATATTATGCATTTTTTTAGTAGTACTTAACTTAGCAGTTATGGAGTTCGGAGATGCCTTCTTAATAAAAATTAGTAAGTTGGAAATAGTTTTGAATAACTTAGATAAATCACACGATTCAATTTTACTGGTGATTATACAATATTACATAAGTAGCTATGCAATGCAGTTGTATGAAACCAGAAATAGGGAAGTAATGAATACAGTGCTAGATACTATGAAAAGATTTTTATAAGGTATTTTTAGTAAGCATACTTCAGACATACATATGATTTAACTATTATAATTCTTTGATTTAGAATTGACATCTATTATAGAAAAAGGATGATTGTAATTTTTTGATTTAGAATTGACAATCTAGTATAGAAAAAGTATAATTGTAATTCTTTGATTTAGAATCGACAATACATTATAGAAAAAGGATGATTGTAATTTATTTTTAATATTAATAAG